TGGATAAACTTATTCATAAACCACTCAACACAGATTAAAAAGAAAAACACAAATATAGGCACACATGAAACATAGAAATAGAGAAAAAACATAGTTGAGTGTCATACAATGAGATTGGCCATAACCATCCAACACAAGCATTTGAGTTAACAACAAAATAAAACCATGAAAAACTAGGGCAATCCTTCCATGTATTGAAACGGAAAAAAAGAATAGCACGTGGAAGGCACCTTAATTCATGTTCCACCTAATAAGTTTCTCAACTTAACATGGATAACAATCAACATAGGCATAATTTGAAGCGACTGATGCTAATCAAAAGTCAATCTAATTAATAATGTAAAAGAGTACCTAAACATCATCATGATCCAAAAGAACAAAAGGCAAGAATACCTTGTTTTTGACACCACCAATACGGTTGAAAACAATGGCGCGATGCCCACCCTCAACATTGTAGAGACTGTTGGCAACTCCATACACACTAAGACCAACAATAACTCCAAACTTGATCAAAGCAGAAGTTGCACCACCACCAGACATCTTGGGAACCTTGACACTGTTGAGATTCATTTTACAAGCCCCTGAAATAAACCAATCATAATTCATATTTATGTTATTGCAAAATCAAAAGCCTACTAGTACGGAAAAAGAGTGTTCCATGTCAGTCTGAAGAGCTTTAACAAACAAACACACAATCAGACACACTCATATTGGTCAACATGGAATTTTCTTCCCAGAGCTACAATTCATATAGAGCTTAAGCGTTTTCCTTAAGGAATTTTCTCTTTGATTTCCAATATGTGAGAAAATATACCATAAAGGTAGAAGGGATGCTCTTTTTTTTTTTTTTTTTTGAATCCATTTTAGCATTAAGGGATGCTTTCTCTTTTCTAAAAAAATAAGCTTAAGCTCTTTCGCAGATCTAATATCATCTAAATAAGAGGACTGAGCAAAGCATTCATTGTGTAATACATCATTAATATTCCAAATCCTAGCATTCTACATTCAATTGATTTTCACCTATTTCTTCATTTGCACTTGACACTATTATTTAAAACATTCACACATTGTTTTTTACTTTCTTCTCGATGGATAAAACTGGAAATTCCTTTTTTCAGAAAAGAAACAAAATAGAGAAATCCATTGTTTTAGCATCAAAACATGTTAGAAAATGTGCTGACTGATCCACAGATGTCCACTAAGATATCATACATGGTTCAACAACTAATTTTCAAACTTGTGAAGTGTACCTACCACAAATTCCTTGTGCCGTTGAACTAAAGCCTTAGGCCTGGTGTGTTGGGAATACTAGATACATTTCAATTAGCCAAACTGAAGGTTCAATTCAATGTAAATCACTTTTACATTTTAAAAGTTCACTATAAAACTGTCAAAAGGTACACATAAATAGAGCCTACAAACACAAACTCAACCAAAACAGAAAAACAGAGAACAATGGGATCAGCTCAATACTCAATATAATCCCACTTCAATCCCGTTAAAACTTAAAGAACAACAAATTGTGTCAAAAAATAAAACCCAAATGGAGTTCTCAGAGACATTTCAATTAGCAAAACTGAAGTTTCAACTCAATAAGTAACACTATGCTTCAAACAGCAAAATCATTCAACTACGTTACTGTACCAAATTAAACTTGAAATCAGCTCAGCTAGATCATCGCAATACTCAACTATCCCAAATCAATCTCAAATTTCACAAAATATAATCCCACTTCAAAACCCGAAATCACAATAACCCGTTAAACTTAAAGAACAACAAATTGGGTCAAACATACAACTCAAATGGGGTTCTCTTCTCTAATACATTTCACCAAGTTTCAACTCAATAAGTAACACCCAAAAAAAATTCTTCAAACAGCAAAATCAATCAATCAACTACATCACTATACCAAACTAAACTTGAAATCAACTCAACTATTCCATCTAATTCATTCCAATACTCAATAATCTATGTTTAACCCAAATAAATCGAAAAAAATCACCAAAAAATCAAAAAAAAAATCACAAAAGCGTCATTACCCAAAATCGGCTAAAAACTTAAACCCAAATAGACTTTTCAGAAGAAGATGAACTTACCTGATCGAAACGAAGCAGAGAAGTTTAGGGTTTTTTGGTAGAAAATGAAGAGAGAAGAAACTAAAAAGGGGATTTTACGGGGAACTTGGAGAAGGGGTTTAGGGTTTTTCGATATTTTTTAAATATTCTTTAAAAAAAATAAAAAATTCGTTAATTATTTAAATGTTTGTGGGCTTTGATATTGGGCTCTAATATGAAAATTGGCCTTTTTGGAAAAGCCCATTATACTAATTGGACCCCTAATGAGTTTTTACCTTTGTCAAGTTTTCATAAAATTTGGAAAAATTTCGCAAATAGCCACTAAAATAAACTTAATTAGGCTTCACAACTATAGTTTGCTAATTACGATTTAGTGGGAGGAGAGAGGGAATCGAGATTGAGAGAAGGAGGAGAGAGGGCAGAGAGTGGAGAGAGACGAATTATATTTGTATATTTGTCATATAATCGTATATGTATATGTATAATTTGTATTTGTATTTGTAAATGTATAAGAGAAGAGAGGAAGAGAGGAGAGACACACGTAATTATAGCTAAAATTAAGTTGCAAGTGGTAATTAATAAAAACTATAACATCAATTTAAAAATGAAATCTAAGTCTTCAATTACTAACTCAAACACATGTTAGAAAAAAATCTCTATAATATATATATATATATATGTGTGTGTGTGTGTGTGAGATCTATGAAAGTGACTTTTCAACTATAACATTTGGCTTTGATGAATTTTGAAGAAATTTATATGTATCCACTAAAAGATATATATCAATATCTTTTAAAGAATAATGAAATTTATTTACGCTCCAAAACTTTCTTTCAATTTTCGTCTCTATTTTTTTTTGTTAGTATTTTTTATTAGAGGTCTCAAATTCAAACATTAAAATAGATAAATTTCTAATAGTTGGTGTTTCAACCTTAAATGAGTCATACACACGTGATTTAGATTATTCCGAATATCATATAATTAAAAAATTAGAATAATCAATGATCTTGTCGATTTCTTGCTTACCTCGGTTACATAATCCAATTTTAATTAAATATTATTATTTTATATTAAATCCGAAATGGTAGGTGTAACATCTATTATTGATAACGAGATCATATTATAAAATTGATAGTTAGAGATTTGCCAAATCTTGTTAATTAATCTATATGTTAACTATGATTAACTCAGCTTGAAAATAACTGTTTTACCATGTATAACATGATTTAATTATTGCATTTATTTTCATCAAGTATAAATATATAGATGAATGAATAAATATTTATCTCTATTTACATGGAAATATTGGTGAATTCAAAGAACAAGCTAGGCATTTCTACATGAGGCTAATCTTAATCTCTACTTAATTAATTTGCTGTTTTTTTATCTTAATTTTCTTTAGTGATTTAATTTGTTGATATAAAAATGGCCTAATGCAAATATTAGCTTCCATAATTATGATATAACCAATCGAGATCTCGTGAGATTATTGAGATTTTTTTATTTTAATCAGATATTTCTAATTCAAGTTGAATTATTAATTATATGAAGCTTTCCATGGTGTGAATTTGAAATAAAGATTTGCTTAGCTTTTGGTATAAATTTGTTTAAAAGTAATTGTCTGTTATTTGTGTTTAAAATATTAATATTATATTACATTCTTTTACGATCAAACATAGTTATTCGGATGTTAACCAAATAACATTATTGGTAAACATTGGAGATATTGTCAAAATTTTATCTATCAAAAAGTTTCTTTGGCTTCTTTTGCTAGTAAACAATTGATACGATGGGAGTTTTGATTACTAAGCAGAAAATATTATTTTATAGATATTTATATATAATTTAGGTAACTATTATGAGAATGAAAGTGATGGAGGTGGATATTATGAAGTGTAAGAATAAGAAAAAGACAATTTGATAAAGAATTTTGGAATCTACTAGTATCAAATCTCGACTTCGCCTAATTTCTAGTCTGCTTCTCCCAAAGTTACATAAACATTTTGCTAGAGTTCAATTAAGCACTTGAAAAATGTCATTTATACAGATAAGTTAATAAAAAAAAAATCATATTTTTCAAATTAGATCTTATGTCTAATCCACACCTCAAAAAATATCACAAAGGAAGGAGGATTACCTAAGTATTATAAGGAATCCACAGATCTCATCCCTCACCGATATGGTACATTTTTCTTTGACACTCTTCTCGCGTCCAAACCATTTTCTGCATTTCATGATCAGGTGTATTTCCTCCACCCACCCCTCAATCGCTTAAGTGGCCAACATCAAATGAGTCTGATTTCAATACCAAGTCAAATTGAATTTTGGATTCAACTCACATTCTAAAAATTAGCTCAAAGGAAGAAAGATTGTTCGAAACTTATAAAAAGTTCAGAAATTTCCTCCCTCACCGATTAGATATATTTCTCTTCAACATCTTTTAATTATGCACATCAATCTCAATAAAAATATGTCTCCAGTTATTGTATCTTAAAAATGAAGCAAGCAATATATAAGAAATTAAAAGAAATCAAGATTCATCTATCAAAGTAGTAGTTCAATTTCCATAAAAGAAAATAAAAAAGTACATCAATCAACACATAACCCTCATTATTTATATCAATTACATGACACACCATAATAAAATAAGTACACACTCATGAGGATCAATTATTTATCATAAACTCAAATTAATTAAGGATAAACCTCAATTAGTGACCTTAATCCAAGAATTGGAGTAACTTTATAGTCACTAAATCCAGCCTCAAAGAAGATTTTAGCCCATCCTCTTTCAGATCTTTTTCTTGTAAAACCATTTTTTCTTGTTATGTTATATTGTAAGTTCTATATAGCAGCCAAAGCTATCTAAGCAACAGTATCGTATTATAAAGAGATTTGACTGTATCACCGATATATATAACTTAAATCGGAAAAAAAGTAGTCAGATTACCTTGAGTAGAAGAGCATCAGCAGGAGGAACGGACACAAAGAAATCTCCACCAACATATGACAAGTTGTCACTTCCTTCAAGTCCTTCAACCACATGAGGCAAATCAAACACAGTACATTGCAAATTAGGAAATTTTTTAGCAATAGTTTTAGCCACAGTCCCAGTACCACCACCAACATCAACAATAGAATTTAATCCCTCAAAAACATCTTTAGAATATTTCATTACAACACTCATAACCAACTTAGCATCACTAGCCATTGCATCATTAAAAAAATGATTTAACCTTTGTTCATGTCCAGCATAATCCCAAAATGTTCTCCCATGTGCAACCTCAAAAGGTGTTGGTTCATCACTACTAAACCACTCATTTACATGATGCCATGGCTTAACCAAAATTGGATCCAACATTGCTAGTAAAAAAGGTGTAACTGTTAATGGCTCGTCTTTCAATAAAAGACGAGCTGGAGGGGCCAGGACATAGCCCTCCCCTTCTCCTGATCCTGATGATCCCTCTTCTAAAGGGATCATCGCGAACTTGAGGAAAAATCCTGAGTGGATTAAAATTCGCATGAGACGTCGAAGGTGAGTGATCTTGGACTTGTTGATTGATAGGGCATTAGCTAATTCATCAAGTGTCATGGGTTTGCCATGTTTGTGAATTATGTCTGGGATGTTTAATTGAATAGCTGATTTGAGTGACATGGAATTTATGAAACTAAAAATATGGTTCCATATGTGAGTTTGAGCATGAAGAATTTCAGTCTCATGCTCACCTACAATTGGCACAACCATTTTAATAAAATTGTTATAACTTTGTAGAATAATATTCACTTTTTTTTTCTTTTTGATTGATATGTAATTTCTCTATAGACTTTGATCAATTTATATAGAGTGAAGTATGGAATAATTAATTGTAGACAAAGAAAGAAAGAAATAAATATTGGGATGGTCATGTTATCATGAGATACACGATGGTGCTTTGTAAAATTATTACTATTTGAAAGTCCAAGCAAGTGGTACTTCGGATTATTTTATACCAGGTTCGATTGACACGAAGTTTAAGAATATTTTTTTTGATTTTTTATTTTATAGATATGGAGTTATAAATCATCTTGTTAATGAGTTTGTTTTTCCTTTCTATCCGTGACTGATATATATCCACATTGAGGTCCGAATATAATCGAATTTTTGCTGGAAATTTTTATATTGAAAGGTAAAAAGTGTTGTATGCTGTGTTCGAAATAGAAGATCTGAAGATGTACAAATAAAAAATTTAATAAACAAAATTCATTGTGTCCTTAAGAAATTTAATATCTTTATAGTCTTGAGGTTTGGATTGTCTTTCCAAAGCATGATTATCCTTTTCAATTGTTCCTTTTTAACAAGAAATTGATATGAAAAAAAAATAAGAAACATTTCCGAACGATTCGCTTTCACACTAATATTATAATATAGGAACTATTTCGATTTCTATGAGGTTATTAATTTAAAGGAATTCAAAAAAAGAAGAAGATTGGTTCATAATACAAATTACAAAAACTTTGTATCTAAATCCAAAGCTCAAATTGAAATTAAAGACATACCCTCAATCCCTCATTATCAAAAGATGTGATGCAATGGATGAGGTTGCTCCTCATTTAATTAGAAGTCTTGGATTCGAGTTCTGAATAAGAAAAATTCATTAATAGGGAATATTACCTCTCGAATGGGGATCTACCTAGCATGAATTTATTTTAATCGGACTCCAATACTGTTATCAACCACCAAACTTAAAATAAAAAAAAATAAAAAGGAAAGACAAACACCTTCTACCCCTACCCCACCCCTACCTCACTCCACCTCATCTTCTCATTTGCTGTGTATACTTTTGTATGTTCCTTAGTTAAAAGACACATGGGCCATGAGCCCATGACCAGCCCATGACCAATAATACAATATGAACTTTTTGTTTCTTTCAATATCCTCGTCTAGATATAATCCGGATTGAATTTGTTTTTGGGATTGAGTTTTTAGTGTCCAATAGTTATGATGCGATAGTAATTTAAGTGTCTCGTAGAAATATCCTCGATTGAAAAGTTTAAATGAAAAATTATAACAATTTTAAAGGAATATTTAAGAAATTTAATTATGTCACAACATTTTATAAAGGGAAAAGGCTCAAATATGCCATCGAACTTTCAGAAAGGCTCATTTATGCCATCCGTTAAAAGTTTGGCTCATCTATGCCATTACCGTTTAAGAAAAGGCTCATTCATGCCATTATTTTTTAACAGTGGTTTTGCAAAACCATTTTTTACACGTGGCCAATT